AAGTACTGTTGCAATAAAGATACTAATTTTATCGCAAATATTTTGTGGGTCTTTGCTAATAATAGAAATAATAGGTAGAATAAGTCATATGAGACTCGAAGTAACATATATGTAGGGTTATGTCTATGAGTTTGGACATACATACCTTACTCTCCTATCATGTATACTTTCAAAGTTCTAATACCGTAAACAGATAAATTCATTTGATAGATTACATGCAAAATTCAACATGAGGTGTTACTTTTTGTAATCTATCAAGAAGTCTACCTATTATATTATAGGATAGTTGCATTGTGTCCTACTTTACCTTAAGTATAGAGGACTGCTTTTCAACTGTCACATAGAACTGAGATGCTTAAACATTCCAGTTCCATTTTTATTTTTAGTCAGCTAAAAAGAAAATGTCCTTTGCAAATATAGTTTTGGAAATTTTAGAAACATTGTTTTTGATCTTTGAGAAGTTTTGTTTCTGATATGAGAAAAGCCAAGACTTGCTTGTGAAGTTCTGCCTGTGTTTCCAAGCTTTATAATTGTTATTTCTGCTGACTGTGTCCACAATATATAAATTTTTTATTCCCAGTTCAGTTTTAGTTTTTCCTTAGTTAAATACATTTTAATGCCTTCATTCATCTCTACATCTTAACTTCATTTGCAATTATCATACACTATGACCACTAGTTTTGAATTTTCAAACTGTCGTAGAAAATGATGTCTTCAGACTTCATCATGTATCTTTTCTTTCAATCTATCTCCAACAAATCCCTGCACTTATACTGCCACATACTAAATATTCAAAACTATAGATTTTGCAGAGATCAGGTTACTGTGTCCTGGGTTAATCCCCAAATTATCGCAAGTAATTGTGTCAGTATAAACCTGAGTTATCTTTTAGTTTATTGCAAAAAAATATATAAATATAATACCTGTTTATAATATTATAAATATAATACCTGTTTCATTATTCAAGTTATTTTCTTGTTAAATGTGAAACTAAACCTCAGTTTATAATCAAAGTATAGTGCTTAAACACTTTAGCACTATAAAAAATTAATCTTTTTTTTATGTCCTGTTTCCAAAAGATAAGCAGAAATTTATGAGCTTTTTACTGTATAAAACAGTCTTTCTTTAAAACTCAGATAATTACAGGTTCTGTATTTTCTGTTTTTTCCAAACACCAGCCAAATATATACCTGTTGAGTTTCAATTTCAGTTCATCATTGTCATTCATCAGCTGACTGGTAGTTTCTTCACTTTGAGATATCTGCATCTTCAATCTTCCATTTTCAGCTTGAAGTTTTTTGTTCTGAAAACTAAGTTCTTCTAGTTCATTTAGTAAATCAATGGAGTCTCTGCAAGAAAGGTACAATTGCTACATAAGCTTAAAAGAATGTATTAAAATTATTCGTACTTGTGGGAAATTTTAGTCTTACAAAATACAGTATCATAAAACTCAATGCTACAAGATTAGGTTTTAATAGCATGTATTCGGTTTATATGATGATTTTGTAATACAGATTAACTATATGAAATATACGTAGTTGATCTTTTTTTCACCTTTTCATAATTACTGTAAATAATGTGTGAAAAATGGCTATTTATTGAACTCTTAAACTTATTAATTACCTACATGTATCACATTACAAAATATAATCAGTAGTGACTAGCCCACTTTCTTGAATCAAGGAGCTATTTTCAATTAAACTCTGAAAGTTAAGTAAAACTTAAAAGGTTCAAAACATCTTTTGATAATGAATAGTTGGTGAATGTTTATTCTATTTTTTTTATGAGACTCATATTTATTGCTTGTTCACATGTAAGCAATAACATTCAAAACTACTGATGTCAAATATTTTTCACACACACTTTTCAGCTTATAGCCTCTGGGTTCTCATAAAATCCAGATGTAATTATTTTGGCCAAAGGAAAAATGGCATACTTTAGATATTCATGGGAGATTAATAACTTTAAATAAATATCAAAGAAATCGTCACATCGTAACAGGTTTATTTAAACAGCCTGTGAGAATTTTAAACCATAGAACATTAAATATTTGCTTTTAGTAGGGGTAAGATGGATATATACATCTCATAAGTAGTTTTAATCATTTAATAAGCATTTATTAACACAATTATTATAAATAAATAGATTGATAATTGAAGAAGTGTGGTATGCTACAACCTATGAACAGATGAAGAGTTCGCAAGATTCCAAAATATGGAAGAGTAGGATTAGAGAAAAAATTAAATTTTAGAATATTACCTTGTGTAGTCAGTTTAATAACAACATATAATGTGGACAATTTCTTGATTTCAAATTGAAGAATTAGTTTTTCAAAAAGATTTAATAGTAAAATATGGTATAAGTCATTTCTTGATTTCATAGTTAGAATGATATACAAACTAAAATTATTACTTTTTTAGCTTCCAATAATACCATTCTTATTTGAGAAAATATGCAACTGAATGATAATGTATGTGGATGGATTAAATAGAAGTATTTATGGAACTACATTTTACTTTACAAATAATAATTATCTTCAAGTCAGTTTCACAAAACTGAGTTGCACTTTGATCAAAAATAGAAACGTTCTTAAAAAAATCAGATTACTTTGACCATCTTAATTTCGTAAATTCTATTTTACAACAATGCTTGAATGCTAAATCTATCTCAATTTCACATAGCGATGTTTCAGTTAAACATTACATTTTATAAAGTGTGCCTTCTTAAAGAAACATAATAAAGAATTCCAGAATCATTAAACTCAAATTTAGTTAACAAAAGCATAACTGTAACATTTTTATCATATCAAAAGAACACGTGACTCAACTGGCACACTCAAATGAAGACTTTTTATTTTTTAGGCCACATCACATTGTGTTAACAAAGTTTGCTGCTTATTTCATGTGTATCTCAAAAGTCTGTCTTGCAGTCTATATTTTATGGAAGATGAGCCCTGTTCATATATACATATATCATTGCTGTAGGAAGCATTTCTGGACTGGTCAGGCCATTGCCATATTGCAATTTCTAGGAGGGGTCGGGGTGCATGCCTTCCAGAATTTTTTGAAAATTTAATGCTATGAGATTGAATCTTGAGCCATTTTAACTACAAATACTGCATACACACAATGTAATATATTGAATTAAAAGAAGCAAGTTTAAATACATAAGTTGTAGCTATACATGCCATGAAAAAATGGTAAGCCTGCATATGTATAATTAAAACACCAATAAGATTCACCTGTGGATATGAAAACAGTGGAATAACAGAATATTATACATTTTCCTCTCCTTTATTAATTTTTTCAACTGGTTTCATGACATACATGAAGAGGTGCCACTTTAAATAGATTGTAGTAAGAAGGCAGAAGTAATTGACTGTGTAAAGTCTGTAAGAATTGCAAAACCATGAAAACTGTTACTAAGACTTAACAGAAAAGACAAAAAAAAGTGAGTAAGATAATCAAATTTTAGAATAAGTAAATTGCAATTCTATAATAATAAGAGAAAGTACAAGTAGATTAAGATTTTAATTTAAAAAGGAAAATATACTGAGTAATTTTATTTACTTTTTGAGCATTTTAAATGTAGATAATTTACAGATGGATTGCATTACATGTTTGTACATTTGGAAAATATACGTATTTAATTTAGATTGTTTGTGTTTAGTTGAAAAACAGTATTTATATGATTTTGTTATAGATTCTCAGTAAAATTATATCCTGAAGAGTTGTGACACAGCAGTATGTCTGTGGACTTAAAACAGTAGAATCTGGGTTTCGATACCAGTGATGGGCAGAACACAGATAGCTCATTGTGTTGCTTTGTGCTTAACTTCAAACAAATAAACAAAATCCTGAAGAATGAGCTTTGAAATTTCATAACCAGTTGAGGAAATCAATAAAGAAGAGGAAAAAAACAGAACTGTGTGTGTGTGTCCAACTTTTAAATCAGCATAAATAAATCCATAAACTCTTTACATTCTTATAAATATTTTAACAATAATGGTGTTTTACTAAGAAGTTTCCTGTAGATATAAATCTCTTACATCCTTTTACCTTTAATCAATAAATAATGTTAATTATTTACCTTTAAATTTAACAATTATCTTGGCAAAAACTGATACACTGGGTAAATTATCATTGCTATTTAAACAATACAGGTTTAAAAAGTTTCAGAATTAAAATGCTTCTACATTTTAAAGTCTCCGAAATGTAGGAGAAAGTAACTTTAGATACACATCTTGTTTTTAAACTGGTGTCTTGTTAATAAAAGTAGCAGAAATAAGTGAATTAAAGAACTGAGATCTGTTGAAGTCTGATGTTATGTGCCAGAAGTTGTATATCTATAGTCTCAGGTACGTATAATCATACATGAGATATCTGTGCATCTTATAATGTGTGTGTGTGTGTGTATATATATAAACTTATGCACATATAAGTGCATTTAATTTTTGACATTTTTATGACAATATAGAACCATTACAGAACATAATAATTACATACTGTTATTTCTACTTGCTCTAATTAAAATTTCAATTTATTATATATATGCTGTTTCTTTAATACTTCCTAACACCTGATGAAGGGTTGTTCACTAATCTGAATGCTAGGGATTAAATAAATGATTTTGAATTTTTGAAGTGAAACTTAATAAATCTAATATTTTTATGACATTCTACTCTGAAACGTAGTATACATGAAGAGGCCTATTTAAAGTATAATCTCCAAACATCAGTAATATGGCCATTTTGTTTCTTGCATGAATTTAAAAGATTAACTTTCAGGATTATATGCTCCAACTATAAAGTATCTCACTGTTATTTCTCACTATAGAGATATAAAACCAGTTATTGTGACCTTAAAATCACTTATTTGTATTTAAAATCAAAACAGTTTCAAAATTAAGCTAGCAAAATATTTTTTCAAAAAACCTTTCACATGTGTTTACATCCAATGAAATATTACTTTTAGTCTGTGCTAATGTATGTATAGTTTTTTTATAAACACAGAAAATACAATTATAAGAGAAAGAAAGATCTGAAATGTTGGTACATAAAAGATAAAGATGTGAAAAATTACATTTCAGGATTTTCCAATGTCCTAATGGTCTCACTTTTTCTTCAAGTATATACACATAGTGAGATTTAACTAGCTTTGAAAAACAATATAATTTGTTTGCAATACCATTTGACCACTAATCTAAAAATAATTTAAATATTCTTATAGTAGAATTTACATGACAGAAATGAAAGAGAGGAATCAAGTAAGTATATTAAAATGTAAAAAGAAATACTGGATATACAAATTATGTGACAATCACTTTACTCATTGAGATTGGTTTGTTATATTAATACACATGAATTATTTTCTATACCTGCTAGTATTTCCACCTGCCATTCCTTCCAAACTGATTGATGACAACTGTGAAGTGTTTAAAATACCTAATGCAAGGATATATAAATATATAAATGTCATATATTGGAAATTGGTTAATTTATTAATCACTACACTACCTGGACTGTTCACTGACAAATTATTTGTTGCAACAGGACTGCACTTGGAGGGAGTAGAGCCTATTCTTTGGCCAGTGCTAAAAACTCCATTAGCAAGTAACTATAACCATTAACCACTACATTTGCATAGATAATTAAAATGCTTGATGTGTAAATATATATACATATCTTTTTCCTAACAAAACAAATAGTAGTTTCTGTAGATATTTATTTACTCTAAAGCACATTTTTAAAAGCTTATGAAGAATGATCTATTTGCTGTCTGTCAAGTTAGTACAATTATATGTGTATTGAACAATACATACTAACTTAAGTTTCTCAGTTCTTTTCTAACAACTTAGCAGACTTTGAAATTTTGTTTAAAATATCATACTCAGTTAGATTGACTTGTTAATATATTTAGTAATTATTTACACAGTTTTGAACAAATCCTAAAAGTATGTATTGTACATGACTTATACTTCTGAAAAGTATTTTTCATTCAAAAATTTTAGAATGAAAACTTTCAAAAAATAGAATTAAGAACACGTTGATATTTATAATTTGATTATAATTACATATTTTATTTATCCTAAGTAAATATCTTTCTGATTTATGCACAGCGACAATAAATTAACAAAACTGACATTATATACATATGGAATGTTAACAGAGATGTAAAAGTGCAAATAATTTACATACTATAACAATCATACTAATTGTTACTTACCTAAGGAAGAATTGAGAGAACTTATGCTATCCCTATTGCTACTGCCATTATTCTTTCCTTCCACAGAACCTTGAGAATCAAAGGAAGATGTGCTATCTAAGGTGAAGAATTTATCATCCTGTTCTCTATACTGTTGAATGCTGGTAAACCAAACATAACAAAAGGTATATACATATAAAGTCCATTACTGAGTAGTACAAACATCACCATACAACAAACAAAACCAGCTGTTATATTTCCCATAAAAACATACACACATGTATGTTACACTTTATACATATACATATGTAATTATATAAAATATGATTGTTATGTTTCATTTATATATATATATATATATATATATATATATGTGTGTGTGTGTGTGTGTGTGCGTGCGCATGTGTGTGTATTTATATATATATGTATACAGAGAGAGTGAGAGAGAGAAAGAGGGAGAGAGAGAGATAAACAAATACACACACACACCTGTAAATATCCCTTGATTTAAGAAATTATGAAACCTGAAACTAATAAAAAATATTGTTATTTTATCTTGTGGCTTACTATGATTATTTTGTAATGGCTCATTGCTTCTGGGGGTGCATCTCCCACCAACTATGTGTACTAGAAATAATTAACTACTGTACTATCACCCTTGTATATAACTTGTATATATATAATGGTGTATTAACAGTGTTTTCATGTATATTCTCAGAAGATGTACGTACACCTACACACCGTGTACATGTACTTGACTCAACCAAAACAACAATGTGTTCTTAAGATACAATCACATAAAATCTCCCAAGACTAACTATACATTACTGATAAAACATATTTTATAGATAACGATATCAAAGCTCCCAAGGTCTCCAAGTCTAATCTTCCACAAAGTAATTCTCTCTCAAGAAACCATATATATATAATCAGAAAATAAGTGATCTTAATATCAAAAGGTTATCAAACCTTTGATAAAATCATGAAAAAAAATCACCAACTAAACTTCAAGTGTTCTTATAACTCAACTATGGTGACATATATATATGTTGTATACAGAACCTTGAACCATTTGTTAAAATTTTCAGTTTTATGGGACATTTGATGTCTCTAAGTTTAAGCTTTATTAGGCTTTAAATGGGTTTCTTTTTATCAAATAAGTAAATGTTACCATTCAAATACTGTAAAAAAATGTACTTCTGCTTAAATGACAAGTATGTAAATATAAAAGTAGTATAATGCACTGATTTTTCATGTCAGTTGATAATACATCACAAATCATACTTAATTCTGATAGAACATTATGATATCTGCTTTATTAAGTGCTTCAATTAGAAAACCTTCTTTCACAATACAATTCTCAAATTGTTGCTTAACTAACCAAGCCAGCAAAAATGAAACCCAAAACAAGAAAACTTGGCAATATAAAAATCAACATATATCTATATATTTATATATGCAATGTTTAGTTCATGTTCAGCAGTGAAATTACCCATATCACTTGTGTGTCTTACAAAATATTATATGGCTATGATTCAAATGTTTTACTTAGCCAAGAGGTTATTTGCAACCTATTTAATAGATGTCAACTAATTTTTATGTTTATTCCTTTAGATTTTGTTTACTTTAAAATACTATTTATAGTAATTAAGTGTACTAAGATATTATCAATTTTAATTGTTTTTTAAACCAAGCCTTATTTAATAGGTAGTATTTGGCCCTAATACCTCTGCATTTTTTTATAATATAGCATGTATTATCACATTCCTAAATAATTATTCAATCAATACAATTATATATTTGTCATAAGATGTTAGTATTAAGTCTATTACATTTTTAAGCTCTACATTTTTAATCTAGTTCCTTAGGAATTTTCAAGAATTAGAAGAATGTATTGTATAATAATAGTTTTCCATCCACACTATATTTGTCATATCTTGGTAACGATGCATTTTGCTCAATACAGTGTTATTCAGGCTGACTGGGATATAAAAAACAAAGCAGTGGTTGAAACACTATTTATATAAGTCATTTTATACAATAACAGTTGTTATGGTGTGTGTACCTTTTACAAGACAGCAAAGAATGTTTACACTTACATTGCCATAAGACATTAGTATTAGGACTATTACATTTTTAAACACTACTTTCTTAATCTTGTTCATTAGGAATTTTCAAGAATTGTATCAAATGGCTTATATAAATAGTATTCTGATCACTGCTGTGTTTGTTGTATTCCAGCCAGACTGAATAGCACTGGATTGAATGAAATATGTCATTGGCAATGGATATGACAAATATAGTGTGGTCAGAAGACTGTTATTATACACTCTTCTAAGTCTTGAAAATTTAAGGAACTAGATTAAAGACGTAGTGTTTAAAAATATAATAGGCCCAATACTAATGTCCTAAGACAAATACAACTGAGTTTATTCTTTGCTGGCTAGTGAAAGGCCTGTACACCATGACAACTGTTATTCAGTCAACATTTTTAGTACACATTCGTTTCTTTACTTTCCTTCTAATGTATATACATCTTTCAACCTAATTTATTTACAAAAGCATAATTATTAAACACTTAAGAATTTGCATAAAATCCTGAATAATGGTAAGAAACAAATATGTTTTTTCTTACATGTTTTCTTTAAAAAAAAAAGATAAAATACTCACCACAATGAGTTGTCTCCTAAGTGATGAAATAAGAATGTTTTGTTCTGCATCAGAGGACAAGCAATTCTCTTCATATTGCCAAATATTTCTCTGTTTTCATCTCTCTCTGTCGTACCATTTAAAAACTCTACAAGACCACTAATATTTGACAAGTTCTGATAAATACAAAAAAACAAAAACAAATGTTCAATGGTATCAATGATAAAGTATAACAAAAAAGTTCATATTTATAACACTGGTAACAGATTCATCAGAAGTACATCATAATGTAACAACAAAACATTTAACAAAAACACAAGAACAATTTCAATAAATACATTAATATTGTGAAAATTATCTTTCACCTTGTTTAATACAGCCTGTTGAAGATAAAATATGTATATTCCAAAATGTTTGAGAACTTCAAGTATTAAATATCTATTGATGTTGCACAAGTATCAAATATTTGTTGCTATTGTTATCGTGTTTTAGTTCATGTTTAACTTAATGCATCTCTTTTCTAGAAAATTCTTCAATTTGTTACTTATATAAGCTCTCTAAAGTTAATTTTCGATGCAAATGTACAAATCCATGCAACATTTAAAACTGTTGGGATTAATAAACTGAATAAAAAGTAAAATTCTCTTTGTTTTTGAAGAGCAAAATGGATCACAACATGTACATTACAAAACAAACCACTAGAAATAACTAAGTAATGTTAGAATATGTTTAAAAAAGAATGATATACTGGAATGCTTTCTACTTTAGAATATAACAATTTATAAAAAATGTTGAAAATGTACATGTACACCAGATAAATAGTTAATAAAACTAACAATTTTCAAGTGCTCTTAGTTACGTTTGCAAAAATTATGCAGAAGTAAAGATCTCTATATTGATACTGGGGTCACTAGGATAAACAAAAATTACCTTACTGTTAGATATACACAACTGTTTCAGTTTAATATGAGTGTTATGATTTAACGTGAGTGTTAAATTCAGTTATTTTTAGAAGCAACAGTTTATCACAAATTTGTTTATGTAATTGTTTATGAATCATATGTTGTATAGTTCACTAGTTATGAATTGGTGATTGTTATGTTACTGCATTGTGTTACTAGAACTTTCTGAGTTTTTCTTGTTGTTTTAAGTGAGTATTATTGCATCATAATATCTAGTATTGTGTGGAACATTCTAGACCTCTTTTGGGATATAAATACTCACTGGAAATCTAGTTTGATAGATAGATCTAGACTATGTGATTGTGAGTTTAGCAATAAAAGGTGTATAGTGGTTGTCAAATTGTGTTCTAAAATAACTGAACTAGCCTGTATGGATTTTGACAAAATATGAGACAATTATTTAAAGCTCTGGATACAACTGTTAATCAAAAGTGTAAAGATCACTTTTATATATGTTTGGCTTGTTTTAATATGATATTTTAAAACAAGTGGATTGTGTGCTGTTTGTTTATTGTTGAAATTTATTGCCAACAAGTCACAGACACCTACTGTAAAGAATCCAGCCCATAAAAAAAATCCTGACAATTACCTTCCAGTTAAAAGCACTTCTGCTGTACCAGGGTTATAAAAAAACTGCATTTGAAAAAATATTATAATCCACTTCATGCTTTTGGTTTAGACTTTATAGGTAATAATTGTAAATAATTTTGAAAAAAAGAATCAAATGTGACAAATTCATTCTTAATAGTTTCACACATCAATATGTAGTTGTAAAAGAGTTACATCCCAATTTTTTGCCATTTCGCAACTATATATACCAACAAAAATATGATATATAAATCAATAAATATCAGGGATAAAATATAAGTTTTGATATCAATCATAAATTTATAAAAAAAGAATTATTATATGCATACCAAAAACTATACATATTCAAAAAAATAATTTTAATGTCCTAAGATTGATTTTGACATTTATCAATCAGATACCTAAAGTATGAAGAAAACCATAACTAGATATTCAAAACTTTTCTAGTTATAAGTATTGACCATACATTTTCCAATAATCAGCAGATATACCACAAAATACTTTTCTCAGCAGTACTTCAGCAATTGACTTGCTCATTTTCTTATTAACTGTAATTTATCTCCAGAAAAGAGAATACTCTAGGTTATATCTAAGTCAATGGAAATTATGTCTCTGCTGAGAGACCTACTGTTTTTCTATTTTTTCTTCTTTTTCCAAATACTTTTCA